GCACAAAGGCCGTGTGTAACGGGGGGTTTCGTAGGAGCGACAGCCGCAGCCCAGGTGAAGGGTACGGGGAGGGATGGGAGCCTGCAGCGGGAACAAAGGAGCCGCCCTCAGTGTCTTCGGTGGGAGGCGGGAGAAAGAAAGGGGGAAAAAGGGGAAAAGGGGAAAAGGGGGAAGAGGGAAAGGAAAGGAAGACAGAAAGAAAAGACAGAAAGAAAAGACAGAAAGAAAAGACAGAAAAGACAGAAAGAAAGACAGAAAGAAAGACAGAAAGAAAGACAGAAAGAAAGACAGAAAGAAAGAAAGAAAGAAAGAAAGAAAGAAAGAAAGAAAGAAAGAAAGAAAGAAAGAAAGAAAGAAAGAAAGAAAGAAAGAAAGAAAGAAGAAAAGAAAAGGAGAAAGAAAGGAAGGAAGGAAGGAAGGAGAGAAGGGGGGGAGAGTGCGCGTCAATAGGTGAACATGCTGTAGATTTGCTCATTCTGCTGATTTTCTGTGCAATTGCATCCTAGGTTTTCATTCCCTGTACACCTTTGGAAGGAGCTCACTATGACAGGGCAGAGTCTGAAGGCTTTATCTGAAGCGAATTTTGAAGACAATGAGATCAGCATCAACGTTGGAGGCTTTAAGAAAAAGATGAGATCCAACACATTATTAAGGTTCCCTGAGACTAGGCTGGGCAAACTGCTGAGCTGCCACTCAAAGGAGTCAATACTGGAGCTTTGCGACGACTATGATGACACCAAGAATGAATTTTATTTTGACAGGAACCCCGAGCTCTTTCCTTACGTGCTACATTTTTATAACACCGGCAAGCTCCATGTGATGGGTGAACTCTGCGTGTTTTCTTTCAGCCAGGAGATTGAATACTGGGGAATCAATGAATTCTTTATAGACTCCTGCTGCAGTTACAGCTACCATGGGAGGAAAATGGAGCCAGACCAAGAGAAATGGGAGGAACAAAGTGACCAGGAAAGTACCACATCTTCTTTTGATGAGATTTTGGCATTCTACAATGATGCCTCTAAATTTGACAAACAACCCTTTGGAAACATCAGGAGGCAGCTCTGGCTCGCTTTGGATAATCCTGGTTACTCAGTCTTAAGCCGAATCTTCAGTGTCCTTTCAATAGTGGTGGTGCTGGGCTCCATCGTGACCATGTGCCTGAACAGCCTCCCAGACTTTCAGATTGTTGACAGCAACGGGAACCCCGAGGAAGACCCTCGCTTTGAAATCGTGGAACATTTTGGTATTGCATGGTTCACTTTTGAACTGGTGGCGAGATTTGCAGTAGCTCCTGACTTTTTAAAATTTTTCAAGCATGCCCTGAATTTGATTGACCTAATGTCTATCCTTCCATTTTATATTACCTTAATTGTCAACTTGGTGGTAGAAAGTAGTCCGACTTTAGCAAATTTAGGCAGGGTTGCACAAGTCCTGAGACTCATGAGGATCTTCCGCATCTTAAAGCTTGCTAGGCACTCCACAGGTCTCAGGTCTCTTGGAGCCACCCTGAAGTATAGCTACAGAGAAGTGGGGCTTCTTTTACTTTACCTCTCTGTTGGCATCTCCATTTTCTCAGTAGTGGCTTACACCATTGAGAAAGAAGAGAATGAGGGGTTAGCCACCATCCCTGCTTGTTGGTGGTGGGCTACCGTTAGCATGACCACAGTCGGCTACGGGGATGTTGTGCCAGGGAGCACTGCTGGCAAGTTGACAGCATCTGCATGCATCCTAGCTGGGATCCTAGTGGTAGTGCTTCCCATTACACTGATCTTCAATAAATTCTCCCACTTTTATAGGCGTCAGAAGCAGTTAGAGAGTGCCATGAGAAGCTGTGATTTTGGTGATGGCATGAAAGAAGTTCCGTCAGTCAACTTAAGGGACTACTATGCTTATAAAGTTAAATCCCTTATGGCCAGTCTTACCAATATGAGCAGGAGTACCCCCAGTGAGCTGAGCCTGAATGATTCACTGCATTAGTGTACAAGTTTGACAGCAGTTTGCATGAGAGCTATCAAGAGCTATGTTTATAAATGTTTTCCTATTTGTCTTCTTTTTTCCTAGAGGATAGTGTTGCTGACACTGCACTAACTTTGCACTTGAGAAACTAAAGACATTTCTATTACAAGTTGACAGGTTGCACATTTTCATCCCATTGCATAGGTACTAAATGCTGACTTCTTCATACAAATGTTACCACTTCCATGACATCAGTGCTAGCAGTATAGTGATGATCTGTTGCTTTGTGCATTTCCTCATTTGAGCAGAGAAATGAACATACCCAAGTGGAATAAAAATTCTCAGCTGTGACATGAGTAATAAAAAATCACCTATCATCTCTACTGGTATCTGTACTAGTGTAGGACTTCCCATGCATTTTACAACAGTTTAAAATAATCACTTGTGAATCACTGACACGGGAACACTTTCCCCTATCTTTCTGACCAGTAATTCTGATCACCACATGTCTGAAAACACCTCTGAGCTTCACATTTGAATGGAAGTTTGCTTACTCTTGAGCACGTGTTTTAAAAACTGTGTGTTCTTGTTCTGAAATGTTACATATGGTAATATTTTTCAGACGCTCCTAAGCGTAGACCTACCTCTGCTTCCAAGATTAGGCCAATACTGAGCCCTCTGAAGAAGCCCACCCCTCATTTTCAGATAGCTACATATTCAAAGACTACATTTCCACAAGTCACTCTAGGTATGGAGGCCTATGGAGACATCTCATGTTCCCATTTCCAGAAGCGATCTGCACACAGCTCGGTTCCAGTGAAGCTGAAGATACACTGTATTTCAGTCCGTCAAAATGGTTCTGAGATTAGACACACAAAAACGTGGGTTTTCAACAATTAGAAGCTCCAATGAAAAACTTGGATTTGTTTAATGAAGCGAAATATTCCCACATGAACAGTACAGGCAGCATTTTAGGAACTGACATTCATATACTGCAAAAAGACTAATTATAAAGATGCCATATGTGATGCTGAGATATAAAATCTAATTTTATCAGGAAAGCTTGAAAGCAGGTGTTGATGGCAGACAATTCCATTAAGCTTTCTGCCAAGGAAACTCTAAGGGAAAAAAAAACCCTGTAAATCACATTTTCCCTCGGAAAGGAACTCGCAACTTACAGCTAAGGAAGAGTATAAGGGCCTAAAAAAGGAACAGATAAAGAAAAAGTGCTTAATACTGCACTCACTGTGGGCAGATCCTCCTACCTGCTCCTGTGACGTAGTCGATTTAAATCCTTTCAAGGGCTGGCCTGTACTTTATTAAGAAAAAAAAAAAGATGTGAGAGAGCAGATCATCTGGGTTTTCAAGAGTAATCACGAATCTGCATAAACTTATTTTTTGAGTGCTGAGCCTCTTCCCTTACACAATTGTGTGTAAGTTTGATCCCCTTACCGAGATCAAACACTTGTAGCCAACAGGCTACAGGCTACAAAGCACCACTTCCCTCTCTTTATAATTCTAGGGATCTGTGCTATACAACAAATGACTGGCAATCAGTGGGCAGAACAGCATTTCTCTTCAGATCCTGCTGCTTTTCCATCCCATTTATTACATATAATGTTCCAAATAATTATTTTTTAAATTTTTTTGGTTTTACTTGTGAAGACTAGAGAGATTCAGAGAATAAATTCAAACTAGTTAGAAGAGAAACTAAAATACTGAAGCTAAAATTGTCATGTTTGGAAGTCTGTGTTTTATATACCACAACAAGGAGAGGCCCAATTGGCAGAATAAAGCAAATATGGTACGAATAGGTAATTCCCCTTTTTAGGCTATTAGAGGTTGCTGTCTGGTCTGGATCTTTTATGTTGCTGTATCAGCTCCACCTAAAACCAGAAAGCTGGGCACCCAGGATCAGATTCCTGTATGCCCAGTGATCTATCATAGAATACACAGTGTGAAATAACTTACCCCCCACACACCATTTCCTTTGAACACCCTCCCCTCGTGTCAGTTAGTAGCTGATTTAGGCCATGAAGTGTGAGGGAAATGGGTCCTTTCTAACCTTACCAAATAAAGCTCTCGGAGATTTCAACATAGCCTGCATAAGTTACAAAGTCAGTAGGCAAGACGTTGCTTGCTGTCCCTGAAAATTGAAGAGACATATACATGGCCCTGAAGGTAGCCTTAGATAACCCAAATTAGCTGTCCAGACTTGAAACATTTTGCTAAGGTTTTCACTTCTGGAGTGCTGGTTCAAGTTCTCTGCTGGGTCACAGGCATAAATTCAATAGTCTTGTCCCTGCTTCACATTGCATGTGTGTAAACTATCCAACACCCATCCAAAACACGGCACAGCACTAGGTTGCCTGTTGGATTGAAATACCGTGAAAGAAGTAAGGGAAGGAAGAGATGGGCTTGCACAGCACATACGCTCCGGTCGGGTTACATGCTGCAAGGGTGGCAAGCTCTCCCACTGACGTCAAGGACGCTGCAAGTTCTCACTAGGTCTGTTGGTTGGGGGCCTTCAGAGAATCCAGCTCCAAGCAGTGGTTTTACCTCAGTTTCACAAGCAGTAGATTCACAGAGTTGAAAACCGATGACTTTCAGGGTAGTTATTTGAAGAGACCTGTAAACTTGCCAAAGAGTCACAAATTCCCTCAGCTGTTGCTAGTTTAGCATTGCAAAGGTTGGATCCAAACTTTGCAACACATCATTTCAATAACCTATAGCTTATCTTATGTTCTAGATTTATTATTATTCGTAGGGCTGATGCTTTGTCATTTCTGCAAATATTGAATGGAACGTGTCCAAATTGCGTTTTACTGAGGAAAATGAAATGCCCCAAGGAATTATGACTTTTATTGTGCTGGTTGAAAGGAATTTTCATTATTGCTTTTTTATATAAGTGCTTTGGATCAAAGACACTAAATAAATAAAGTACTGAAATTTAATATGTTCTTATTATCATGACAATGACTTTACACAGTACACAGGAATTCCCTTCATAAACTTAACTAACTCCATGTTAAAAGTAGTCAGATTTTTGCTCCCCTCTCCTCTGGAAGACCGTTCCAGAGCTGCGCTGCTCTCCAAGGCTTGTGCAACTTTTAGCATAATTTAATTAATGGCTGCTTTATATCAGTCTTTTTCTCATGCCACCACTGTTCTTTAGCTTAAATATTTCATTTTCCTCCTAGTGTTTGCATGCACGGTGTATTTATAGACAGCAACCATGTGCCCTTACATGGTTATTTTCACGGGATTATACCTGCCAAGCTTCCTTTCAGTTTTCTTTTTGCAAGTCGTGTTCCCCTGACCATCCTAGGGGATGTAGCCTTTTTTTCTGCATTAACTTCTGCCTAGATTTAATCTGTTTGAGCTGGCATGGTACAGGATCGTATCGCTTTGTACAGCAGTTTTAATATTTGTTTATGACTAACAGAATTTTTCACTGAGGAGGATAACAATTGTTCCGATTTAAGTAATGTTGTTGTCTTAGCTCCCCCAAAATATCTAGGTAAGGAAGAATGAGGCACACCCTGCCATTTTATGAAGTAACCTCTATTCCAGGGCTCAGTACAGTAAGTGCTGAGAATCCTCATCTCTCCTTAAATAGACGTTACAGAAAAATGTGTACACTTTGAAGGAAAAATTCAATCTTTTCAAAGCCTCAGTGAGGAGAAGAGGCGGTGTACTTCTTGAGTAGTCAGAACTTTTGCTCAACTTCTTAAATCACTGTTTGGTAAGAGCAGGGCATCTTCACTTCTATAAAACAGCGGGTCAGAAATGAAGGATGAGAGGACTAATTGGCTGCTTTCCCTTTGAAACTTGAAAATTGTTGTGGTCAGAAATCTGCTTACTATGGATGTGCCGTTTAATGAGGAACATTGCACTTGGCATGTGCTCCTCCTGCCTCGTGATGGTCACCTTCCTGGCACCAGTGAAAACGCTGCTCCTATTCTCTCTCGGCTGAGAGCTTTGAAGTGCTGAAATGAGGATTATGGTAATATTTCAAATGAGGCAACTTACTTTATTGCCAGGAATAAATTGTTAGAGAATCTTGATTTCTAGTACAAATCTAGGCTATTATGGGAGTCGGAGATGTCCTTGAGAAGCAATATGTTACATTATTTTCCTGAGATGTAAAATCTATATATAGATTGTGATTAAGCTTTTTATGTATGTTCAGACTTTGTATTATTGCCTGGTTTATTATTCACTTACTTTCATCAGTTGCTAATT